GCTGGCGAGGGCACACGAATCAACTGGCGACGTCCCTCTTGCAGCACACCAGTCTTTTATGTCACGCAAATATGGACGAACGTCGTCACCAAGCGCTGTTTCAGGGAAATACGCCCATATGTCCATACTCGAAACATGTACTGACAAGGTAACTACCGACGAACATCTTCCCACTGTCAAGATACCGCGTGGGCGATAAAGATGTGTCGAGACGCCAGAAGGATTCCTTATACTACAAACAATGGACACAAAAGGGACGAAGGAAAAGTCACGTCCATTGGTGGTGGACGGAGGATGAACGTCGCCTTTCCACACTCCGTGCCAGATGAGTACGCAGAACCGACGAACGTCCCGCGCATGGGTTGAGTGTTCATATCACACGACGACGGGCGGACATCGTTATCAAGAGCTGGTGCTGAGAAATACGTTCCTATGTCTACACTTCGAGCATGCACCATAAACCGCCGACGAGCGTCGCTCCACTGACAGAACACTTTGAGTACTTGCCTGGAAGCAAGTAGAGGACAGATACGAACGTCCTCTCGAACTCTGACCTTGCTACAAGGCGTATCGGGCCGCCGAAGGGGTTTCCGTACAATGAAGGACAAAAGGAAGGAAAATAACAAGTGGAAATCATGAACATGGAGCAATTATGGGCAAAAAGATGTATATTCTTCGGCTCTAATGGCCGGACATTACAATAGCTGGAATGGAAAAATGTAAATGACATTATACAAAGAAAGGGGACCCCGGGCGGCTGCTGCCCTTGTTCGGCTCCTCCTCCTCTTCCTCAGGCTCGGGGGTCGGCGGCTCTGGAATCTCCCCCCTGGCCTTGGCCTCCTCCCGGCGCCGATCCCTCCTCAGTTTCCCTAGCGCCTGGATTAGGAGATCGTCATCCGTGTTGGCCGCCAAGTCAAAATCGGGCCCCAGCAGCTTGGCGAATGTGGGTAGGGTGGCCTTTACCCCTTCATTGTAGCCGGCGGCGAAGGTGCTGTCGCCGACCTCGTATAGGAACTTGCGAGACAAGGGAGAGCCCTCAAGGATCCGGACGCCGCGAGCCAGGCGCTGGCGGGGCGGAATCTTCTCCAGAGCCGCGGCGAACAGGTCGGCGAAGACCCCGGCGCAGTAGTCCTTGGCGGAGTCCATAAACTCCCCGGTGTTCCGATAGCCGGAGGTATCGATCAGCCACTCCGGACTGGCATCCTTTGCAGTAGGGTGCACCGGGACAATCTTGAAGCCAGCTTTCTCAAGGCTGGCCAGCTGCTGGCGGGATTCTGCCCGCAGGGCGGCGATCTCCTTCTCCTTGGCGGCCGCCTCCGCCTCCGCTCGACGAGCGGCCTCCCGGGCCGCAACGATGGCCGCGTCAGCTTTGGCCTTGGCCTCCTTCAGGTCGGCCTCCCGGGCAGCTTCAGCCTGAAGGACTAGAAGCCCAGACTGGATGACAGAAGGAAAAATAAGGATCAGAGGATGAACGTCAAGGAAAATAAGAGATATACTCAGATCTAGCACGGAATTACCTGAAGAGCGGCTGCCAGGGCAGCGCTTGTCGCCTCAGAGGACGAACGGCTGGGCAGCTCTAGACCAGCCTTGAGGGCCATCTCCCTCCAGAGCTCTTCCGCCGGGCGGCTCAATGGCAAGGAGCCGGCGTCTTCGAGCAGGGGCCCGGTGGAGCCTGCTTCGCGGCCCCTCTTCTGTCTCTTCTCCGGGGCTTTCTCCGTCCCCTTCTGAGGAGCCGTCTTCGTGGGGACGACCGGCAGGGGAAGGGCGGTTTCGAGAGCAGGGGCCCCGGAACCCTGAGCCAGCACAGTGGCAATCAGATGCTGCTCACCCTCGGCAGTTCGCCGGGCAGCGTCAGAAGCCGAGGAGTTGGACGCCGAGGCGGGGGCATTCTTGGCCTTCTCCATCGCAGCTTTAGCAGCGGCCGCCTTGGCCTTCCTGGTCTTCAGGCACTCGGCATGATTCATTTGATCTCTGTCTGGCGGAGGACCTGCAAAAAATAACAAAGGATTAGGAGACGAGCGGGGAATAGAATAAGACACTCACCTCGAAGGACAGGACCGCCCGGCGCCCCGAGACGAGCGTCGGAGGGTAGAAAAAGTCCAGGGACACGGGCGGTACCTATGCCTGCCCCAGAGAGTGCCTCGAAGGTCAGAAATCCGGCTATAGGACGGACGCCACCCTCCAACACCTTCTCCGCATCCAGAAGCAGATCGTCGGACGGCTCCGGTGACTCAATCTTTGGGGGGTACCCATTCCACCGGAGAGGGAGAGGAGGCCCGTCGTATCGAAGGAAGAAAAAACGGTTCTTCCAGTCGTGGATGGACGAAGGGTAGTTCTTGAACAGGCGCCTCCCAGGACGTGCGGCCACGCTCAGATACCCGTCGGCGTTCTGAGGAGTGACGCGGTAGAAATAATGGAAGAGCTCCAGAGTGGTATCGACCCCCGCAAGTTTGCAGCGCACCAAGAAGGCCGATATGAATCTGTAAGAATTTGGCATGAATTGCGCCGGAGCCACCTGGAAGCAGTGGAAGAACTCCACATAAAACGCATGAAGTGGAAACCGCAGCCCGGCTTCAACGGAATCCAGGTGGAGCATGATCATCCCCGGACGTCTCCTCATCACATGCTCAGCGCCTCTCACACTCCAGACGAACGGTGGAGGAAGGAAGGTACGGATTTTATTGAGGGCCACGCGGGAGAGGACTTGGTCGTGGTCAAGGGCGCTCCTAATCGGGCAGATGTGGCGCTCCATATCTGTGGGGATGCCCAGATCGTACACCTCCATATCAGAACCAGATTCGGCTTCCTCTCCAGAATCATAATCAGCAGGACGCTCATTCAGGGGGACTGCGTCAATAACATCTACTGCCCCGTCAGCGCCCCCGCCCCCGGCGTCGCTCCTACTATCTTGGGACACATCATCCGGCTCACCATCAGCCCGGATGGTCCCCACCGTCGTGGCCGAACCAGAGGTTCCGGAAACACTAGTTTTTCCCAGGGAGCGTGCACTAGCATTTTCAGAAGAGGAGCCCAAGGAGGAACCCGACGAACCGGAATCAGAACTTGAGGAAATCTCCATCGAAGTCATTCCGGCCAGAAGTCAGAATAAAGGGAAGAAGCAGAGGGGGGAGATTACCTTACAAAGGTATGGTTGGCCGAATTCAGGAAACTTGAAGAGCTGCGGAAAATCGAGAGCAAGAGAGCAGAAATTGGGAACCCTAATTCAGAGGGCAAACCCAGCATTTATAAGGGAAACGCCGATGGAGAAGCCAACGAGGGGCTGACACGTGGCAAGGAGCGTATTCCGGCCCACGCGCTGTGCGTGGGATGGGAACGTAATGATGACACTTCCTCGGGAAAATGCGCCGCCGCAACATCAGCCGTCACCTCGTTTCCTGAACCGTCAACAGCTGTCAAGCACCATGGCCACGAGCGTACGATTCCACCAAGATGCAATGAACACAAGTGCCAAAATACGGACGTCTACTTCGGGGAGGTTCATACTTCCTTATGTCCTGTGCATGCTCAGAACATCAGAAGTGGGGGACTTGTGTTGGGTTAAGGGCCCAAGCCGAGGTCCGGCCCACTAACCCATTTTGCCAGACGACCGTCCAGCTAGAAACTAGGCCAGCCCACAGGCCCATGTTCTTTAAGCATGGACGAACGTCTGGTGTTGGAGGACTCAGGCCCAGCGGCTCATCCCGACGAACGTCTATGCAGGGACAAGGAGCGGAGCCACGGGCCATCAGGGGTGACGACGAACGTCTCCTGAGCAAGCCCATAGTCATCGGAGGAGACCCAGCCCACATGGTGAGAATCCATCGAGGCCAGGAGACGAACAGCCAATATCCCTCAAGGGTCACTTGGAGGAATCCAACTCACTTCCCGGGTGGACGAACGTCCCCACTATTCCGGCGGGAAACCTAGATTCTGGCGGGAAGTGCATTTAATGCTAAAGATTTGGTAGTTGGGACACCAGCGGTCCACAGGCTGCCACGTCAGTACAGCCACCTGCCCATTGGCGGGTATAAATAGAAGCATTTATTTCATTGTAAGGGGTTGGCAACTTTCTATTCTTAGCATACTAGCTTCAGCATTCTTACTTGCAGCATTTCTAAGTGCCTTGTAAGACGAACGGCCGACGTGCCTTTTTAGCAAGTAGATTGTATTTAGGGGAGTTATTACGAAGTTAATAATACCTACTTACATTGCCTGCTATTACTCTCGCCTCCTGATCCATCTGATAGTTGTTGGGCTAGATATCCACATACTCACTCCACTCGAAATCTTTGGGCTTACGTGTTGGGTCCAAGGGTTGAAGGAATAAACCTCAACAAAAGCCTTAATAAAAGAGAGCTCTAAGCCTTGATTGACGGTTGTTCGGAAAGATTGTTGAAATCTTGATTTAAATATAAAGGCATATGATTTTATGATTTTAAACTAACAAATTGATTTTAATCGCATCTAATCTAAAATCATAATAAAATCGTGTAAACTCTTCTAAAGTCGAATAAAGTTGATTGATTTGCTTTGATAATTTTCCATAGAAAGTGGTTGCTTTTTTTTTGGAAGTGGGACTTGTTTTTGGACTTTAATTTCGATTAAATCACGCCATCGAAATGCTTCCTATAAAAAAGTATAAAAAGATGTTTTCTTTTGGACTGAAATTTGCTGGTCTGATCTGGTCTGGTCTGGTCTGGTTTGAACTGGTTTGGTCCGGTCTAGTAAACGTCTCGTTCTTATGTATTTTATAATTACGGAAGTCTAGTCTGATCTTATCTGATCTGATCTAGTCTAGTCTGGTTTGATCTTGTCCGATTTGGGACAAAAAATAGTCCAAAACTAAACATCCTAAATATTGAATTATTCACACTGATTTTTGACCTTTTAAAGTTGTTAATTAGGTGAGTTTGAATCGCGACCGTCGATAAAAAGGCATAACTTTCTATATCCGGCGGACCCTTCCCCTTCAAGCTGATACCTCACGCCGTTGACAACGTGACAAATCCAGCTCACTGCACATATACACGCCGTATATATATAATCATAACAGTCCTTATGCTTGCCATAACTGTCCGCGCAATCCGCGGTTTTATTCTTTTCTTCATCATTCCAACGACTGATCCACAGTTCCATAAACCGCCATGGACGGCGGCGGAGGACCGGCACCGGTGGGAGTGCAGATCCAGCAGACTCGGCGGCTGCCGGATTTTCTCCAGAGCGTCAACTTGAAGTACGTGAAACTAGGTTACCACTACTTGATTTCTCATCTGTTAACTCTGTGTCTGATTCCTGTGATGGTCGTTATTATTATCGAGGCCTCTCAGATGAATCCAGATGACATTCGCCAGTTATGGCTTCATTTGCAGTACAATCTCGTTTCTGTGATTATCTGCTCCACCGTTATGGTCTTCGGATCCACGGCTTATATCATGACCCGGCCGCGGCCGGTGTATTTGGTTGATTACTCCTGTTATCAGCCTCCCGATAGCCTCAAGGCTAACCATCATCGGTTCATGGATCACTCTCGGCTCACAGGAGACTTCGATGATTCCAGCCTCGAGTTTCAGCGTAAGATCTTAGAGCGGTCTGGCCTTGGGGATGAGACTTATTTCCCGGAGGCTATGCACTGCGTCCCCCCTCAGCCGTCTATGCTGGCCGCCAGGGAAGAGGCAGAGCAGGTTATGTTTGGTTCATTGGATAATTTATTCGCCAATACTTGTTTAAAACCAAAAGATATAGGCATACTCATTGTAAATTGTAGCCTGTTTAATCCAACTCCGTCACTTTCTGCTATGATTGTGAATAAATACAAATTAAGAGGCAATATTAGGACTTTCAACTTGGGGGGTATGGGTTGTAGTGCAGGTGTGATTGCTATTGATCTAGCCAAGGACTTATTGCAAGTGCACAGAAATACCTATGCTGTTGTTGTTAGCACAGAAAACATCACACAGAATTGGTATTTTGGGAATAAGAAGTCTATGCTGATACCAAATTGTTTGTTTAGAGTGGGAGGTTCTGCTGTTCTTTTATCTAACAAGTCAATAGACAGGAGAAGGGCAAAGTATAAGCTTGTTCACGTCGTGAGGACTCACCGAGGGGCCGATGACAAGGCCTTCCGTTGTGTTTACCAGGAACAAGACGAAAACGGCAAGACAGGAGTTTCCTTGTCAAAAGAACTAATGGCAATTGCTGGTGGTACTCTGAAGACCAATATCACCACACTTGGTCCCCTCGTATTGCCAATCAGCGAACAGCTTCTCTTCTTTTCTACATTGGTAATCAAGAAATTATACAATGAGAACATCATGCCATATATTCCAGATTTCAAGCTGGCATTTGATCACTTCTGCATACATGCTGGGGGAAGGGCGGTGATTGATGAGCTGGAAAAGAATCTCCAACTCCTTCCAACACACGTGGAGGCCTCCCGAATGGCACTACATCGATTTGGTAATACTTCATCCAGCTCTATCTGGTATGAGCTGGCATATACTGAGGCCAAGGGAAGGATGAGGAAAGGACACAGAGTGTGGCAGATTGCATTCGGGAGTGGTTTCAAGTGTAACAGTGCTGTTTGGCAAGCACTTCGTAACGTGAGGCCATCCACTAAGAGTCCATGGGAGGATTGTATTGACCGTTATCCAGTGAAAGTAGTGTTATAGTTTCATAGGTTATGGTAACTCTTGATAATTGGTATACAGTTTTCCCGATCTGTTATTCTCTGTGCTGCTTGTGCATCCCTTTTTTCTGTTTCATAGGGCTTGTACTTTCGGTTTTTATCTTCCCTTTCCTGGTCCAGTGTTTAGAATTTATGGCTTTGTTCGGTTACCATTTCATATGAATCTAGTGTTGCAATGCACTAGTGCAGTCTGTTATTTGTGCAGGCTATCGAGTTACAGATGTACCATTTACCATTGGCTGCAGTATTTTAAAAGAATCATTTTTGTTTTGGTATAATGCTTTCATGAAAGAAACCACAGTGACATGAGTTAAATGGGGGTTCTGCTTTGTGTTTATTGACCTTGCTTAAAAAGCCACAACAATGTCAATTTGAGCCCAAGTCAGCCACAAACAAGAATTCTGCTTATTTATTACGGGGTATATTTTGCTTTAAAGGAGAAATTAGATAAGGCTACTGAAGGAAGCCCAAGTATGATGCATTTTTCTGGTGCCAGATGTATTATTTGTGTTCTGCTTTGTGTTTATTGACCTTGCTTAAAAAGCCACAACAATGTCAATTTGAGCCCAAGTAAGTCAGCCACAAACAAGAATTCTGCTTATTTATTACGGGGTATATTTTGCTTTAAAGGAGAAATTAGATAAGGCTACTGAAGGAAGCCCAAGTATGATGCATTTTTCTGGTGCCAGATGCATTATTTGTGTTCGTCAAAATCTTGAATTTCAACAAATTTTCTAGTAAATAAGCACTACTAAGCTATAGTGAAATTATCCATAGTTACAAGTCTCGGAAGTCTCAAACCTCAAACACAACTTGTGAGCTTGATCCATAAGTACACGCCATTGTTCGAAATGGAAGTTCAAACTCACAAACAAGCAAATTACAGATTTGAAACTTAAGGTTAAAGTTTACAAGAAACGCAAATTACGCTATTTGAATATTTGGAGGTTGAGTTCAAAACTAAAATCTGAAATTTACTTCTGGATCTTATTAATTTACAAAAGAAAGACGTAGGCTTCACTCTGGACGTCGGCAAAGTGACATAATTTGGAGGTTTAGTTCAAATCTAAAATCTGAAATAATCTTATGACATAATTTAGTGAGCGAAGTCAATGTCCAATGTTCGATGAAAAACTTATCCTAAGGTTGACAAGTCAAAAATTTGTATTACCATTGTTCCAAAAGGTTGAATCGCCAACCCCAAGCGTCCCCACGCCCCAACCCGACAGGACTTTTGGGAGGATGTAAGTCATGACGACTCAGTCAGTAGAGTGGCAGTAGGCCATACACCCGTGCGCACCAGAGGCCCAGCCTTATTTCAGGTTCTGTGACCTCCACCCGATCGCTGCGGGGATTCGAACATTGGTCATTGTTCCAAATTTCCCACCACTTGATCAACTAAGCTACCCGTGCGGGTAAAAAATTTGTATTACTAATTGGACTCTACACAACTAGGTTTTCACCCAAATCACAACTATACCAAAAGGCAAAAGGGGGCCTCCCAAAAGGGCTTTAGTAATTCTCAAATGGACAAGGTCCAATTGGGTCCTCTATTTTGATTGATGGTCCCCGTATCTACCTTAATAATAAAGTAGAACATTCAAATTGAAATTGATTTGTCAATTAATTGCTATCAAGTACAATTGATAAATTAAATAATTGCTATCAAGTACAAGAAATAAATTGACCTCACGTTTCAATCCTCTCCATACTTTTAAATGGTAAGAGTTGCATGATCTTTTAATATATGGTATCAATAATCAATAAATATCACAAATTAAAGTTGCATAGTTTCAAAATCTACGTTTCTTGGATACTATTCATTCATTTTAAGTCAACATTGCACTAATTAATATACTCCCTCCGCCCCCTCTAAGTTTGTCCCGTTTTACTTTTTTCGTCCGTCCCATTAAGTTTGTCTCATACCATATTTGGTAATATTTGGGTGGTTACAATTCATTCTTACTTTATTCATACTTTATCAATTCAATATCAACCACACAATTCCAATTTTTCTTAAAAGTTACGCCACACCCTTTGTCCCAAACATAGTGGGACAGAGGTAGTACTACGTAAAAAATGTACATGGCTTAACAATTTATTTTCAATTTTTATAATCTCTAGTCAATTTATAAATAAGAACTTATTTATTCACTCACCAAATAAGGAGTTTTCAATTTTATCCTTTTATTAGAACTAAACTATTGTTTCAATAAAACCTACTCAGTTGTAGTGAAGTACGTGATATATCTATTTTTTTAATACCTAAATTGCCTCCACCACTATTATGAAAGAACCAGATTATTAAAAATCTATAAATTCTAATTTCAGCATCCATTGAGAACTTCAAATGACAACCCATAATAATGAGTGTATTTAATTTGTATAAATTTTTATTAGAAAGTGTATTTGTATTTTTTATTCTAGCTTTATCATTAGCCATTGCATATCGAGGCTTATCAAAATCCATATTAAATTGAATGTAAGAATATAGTAAGAATGATATAGAATCACACAAAATTTATCAAATTTGATATGTGACAATAATATACTTTTTTGAAGTTTTATTTAGTAAAATTTACTATATATAAATACAACCTAACTGTGTTAAATAAAATCAGAGCAAACACAATAATTATCTACTGAGTAATCTTTAGACAACCTAAGTACCTAACCATGTTAAATAAAATCAGAGCAAGTGTACTTAAACATTCTTCGTTTTTAATAGTTGAAACACTTTAGCTACTACCTTATTTACATATTCTACTTTAACTTTTACGTTATTCACACACTATACTTTAAGTGTATTTATTAACGGATTGAAAAATTGTCCTACATAAAATATTATAAAATTTATCCCAATTAAAAAAATTAAAATGTGACATTTATACATGTATACTAATAGTCAATTAAATATGTTAATGATCGAAGTCTTTACATGCGGATATGAAATTAGAAGTGTTGCAACTATATAAACCAAAGGTAAAATTATTTTGCAACTAAAAAATGCTTTGTAGGTGTATTAAAATTATATGTTTAACACCATAAATCACATTTGTGAAAGAAAAAATGCATGATCATGATTCTAAGATAACTTATTTTATAAAATTTTGGATATTTACATTACATATACAATTTGGGATATGTTATCTAACACCTCTGCAAGACTTGGGGTATTTAAGTTATTTTTCCTTAGCTATGCGTATATGTACACACACACATAGAGGGAGGTTAAAAAAAAGTACTCCTCAAATGAAAATTGAGAAGAAATCTTAGTCATTAAAATGTTAAAATGAGTGGAATAGATCAATTTAAAGTGAAAATTTTCGGTGCATTAGAAACTTTTTTGAAAAATAATGTGATAAATGTGCATGACCATAGGAAAAGTGCATTGGGCTACTACAAAAGTGCATCGGTTTTTGAAAATAAAATAACAAGTACATAAATGGTTTTGTGATATTGTTTAAGAAGGTGAATGTGAAGCGTTACATATTGCATATGCATTTTTTACACATTTAGGTTGACACTGAGTTTTGATCTATTCCATCAATTTTAAAGTGACCTAGGACTTAAATCACTTCTCACTTTTCATGGAAATTGAAGACATCTTTGTATTAGAACTCACTTTAATATGTATAATTATGTTCAAATGAGAAAATGATCTTAGGAGAGAAATGAGAATGGATCTCGACCGTTAGATTGTATTATGTGTAATTGAATGTGCATTAATTAGGTAAGACTGAAAAGTGCATTAGGTGAAATCGGAATGTGCATCACTAAAGGTATGACATAGTGGCATTATGTGAAATAGAATTGTACATTAGGTGAAACTGAAATGTGCAAATAAAAGCTAGGATGTGGTGGCATTTTTGTGTCTTTTATTCTGCACATTTCAATTTCACGTAATGCACAATTGAATCTACATTTTTTCTGCACATTTCAATCTCACCTAATGCAAATTTCAGTTACACCAAATGCACAATTCAGTTTAACAAAATACAATCCAATGGTCCAAATTCAATCTCTCCAGGGAGCCCTTTCTCACTGGAATCGCTCCCTATATATATGAGAATACAAGCTTATGCGAGAAATAAGAATGATTCTGGAGCGTTGGATTTGGCTATATATCGTGCATCATGTAAAACAAAACTATCTATATAAAAAATTAGAAATGTGTCTTTCAATTGTCTGAAAGTTTAAACTTAAATGTGTACATTTAAATTTTGCATTACTTTAATTATAAATGCTACTTTTTGTGAACCATAATATTATCATTTTGGAGTGTTCTCATTTATCACGTTAAGCAGTGTTCTCATCGGAGCCAGATCCTGTGTGTGTTAGAACAGTTCTAAGAATCTCAATATGCACCCGCAACGCCCGGGGAAAACACTAGTGGCTAATTTTAATAAAACCGTTGTTCAGCTTGTTCAATATCACGGATCAAGATTCTTTGCCTGGCTTTGGCAGCTAGGTAGGGTGCGTGGCTATTACAGCCACGCGATTCACTCTCCTCTTCCAGCTGCTCTCTTCTTCTTTGTTGCTTGTCGTTGAATTGCCCCAAGGCACCTCTGCCGTGCGGCAGAGGATCCAAATCCCAATATCACACGGTCGTGAAATATGGTTTGCTGGGAAGGTGGAATATACGAGTACAGTATTTCTTGTTAATTTTAATAAAACCGTTGTTCAGCTTGTTCAATATCACGGATCAAGATTCTTTGCCTGGTTTTGGCAGCTAGGTAGGGTGCGTGGCTATTACAGCCACGCGATTCACTCTCCTCTTCCAGCCGCTCTCTTCTTCTTTGTTGCTTGTCGTTGAATTGCCCCAAGGCACCTCTGCCGTGCGGCAGAGGATCCAAATCCCAATATCACACGGTCGTGAAATATGGTTTGCTGGAAATTCGCTATTGATTTGCTCCCACATGGTCACATATATACAGTTCTTCCATTGTGTTTTTTTTTCACAATGTGCTAATAATTGAATGAGAGAAACTAAAACTAAAGCAAAATAATAATAAAAATTAATAGTTGAAAAGGTACATTTTCTTGTGAGTATATATTCAACTCAGAAAAGCTAACAAAAACTATTAGAAAAGCTAATAGTTTGTGAGTATATATTCTTCATGAAGTATAAATGATCATCACAAATTTTCAACTCAAAATTCAAACGAAAAGTTTGTTAAATAAATTATTTAAAAACATTGCAGGTTTTATATACACCTAAAATTCATGTGTAATCCTTTCTGAATTCTGATGTATCAAAAAAATAAAATTCATGTGCAAATAAGAAATTTATATATACAGAGTACTATTTTTGGTGTAACATCATATGTTATATGTATATATTAAATTGCTGACATATTCCAAAACCAAAACGTACACGTAAGAAACACGAATACTTATCAATTCCTTGAATAACATTAGCAGTATATGTTTGTATGACTGTATGTGTGGTGCAAATTTTGGATCTCAATCTTATCATTGTTCTTCACTTCTTCCAAAGAAACTACCCGCAAGTTCCGTATGGTTTATGATTCCGTTCAACTTAGTTGTTTTATACTCCGTATGCAAGTAGAATCCGTTTATTGGTTTATAATTTGTAAAACCATACAATTTTAAGATTTACGGTTAAGAGGTCATTTGGAACCACTATTTTTCGGCTTATCAAGCTTATCAGCCAATTTTTTCGCCAGACACCCAATTTTTGCTTTCGCGCGTTGAATTGTGTAATAAGCTGAAAAAGTAAGGTTGGGGCTACTTTTCTGGCTGTTTTGGGTGAAGTTACTGTCGATGATCATTTTAGCTATTTTTACATATAACTTTTTCTTTATTGGGAAAAGGGGCAAATAAGCCCTCGAACTAATAAAAAAAG